TCTCAAAGCCCCAGAGCCCATAGATCTAAGCGATGAAGAAATAGCAAAACTCTCAGACGCACAGTTTAAAACACTGGTCATCAGAATCCTCACAGAACTGGTTGATTATAGCCACAAATTAGACAAATATATGAAGCCAAAACTAATTGAAATGAATGGAATTGCACAGGACACCAATAGCAAGAAAAGGGAAACTGGGACTCAAATCCATGGAGTGGACCAGAAGAAAGCAAATAATGGCCAAACAGAAAAGAGTCAGGAAGCAAGAATTCAAAAAAATGAGGAGAGTCTTAGGAACCTCCAGGACATCTTTAAACTCTCCAACATCCGAATTATAGGGGTACCAGAAGGGGGAAAGGCACAGCCACCAGTGGAAAACTTATTTGAACAAATAATAAAGGAGAATTTCCCCCAAGCTGGCAAAGGAAATAGACTTCCAGGAAATCCAGGAAGCTCAGAGAGTCCCAAAGAAGTTGGACCCAAGAAGGAACACACCAAGGCACATCATAATTACATTAGCCAAAATTAAAATGAAGGAGAGAATCCTAGAAGCAGCAAGAGCTAAGGGGACAGTCACCTACAAAGGAGTCCCCATCAGACTGTCAGCAGATTTCTCAAAAGAGACCTTACAGGCAAGAAGGGGCTGGAAAGAGGTATTCCAAGTCATGAAATCCAAAGACCTACAACCAAGATTGCTCTATCCAGCAAAACTTTCATTTAGAATGGAAGGACAGATAAGGTGCTTCTCAGATAAGATCAAATTCAAGGAGTTCATCATCACCAAGCCCTTATTATATGAAATGTTAAAGGGACTTATCTAAGAAAAAGAAGTTAAAGAAACATGAACAGTGAAAGGACAGCAAACTCACAGTTATTAACATCCACACCTAAAATGAAAGCAAACTAAAAGGACAGCTAGATCAGGAGCGGAAACAGAAATGAAGATCTCAAGGAGGGTTAGCAACAGGGGAGTGGGAGGAGGAGATGGGGGGAGAAGGTACAGAAAATAAGTAGCATAGACAGTAGATAGAAAATAGATGGGGGGGCAAGAATAGCATGGGAAATATAGAATCTAAAGGACTTGAGACACATGGTCATAAACTAAAGGGGGGGTAATGGTGGGGATGGGAGGGTAGGGTGGAGGGGAATGAAGGGGGGAATAGAACAACTGTAACAGCATAATCAATAAAAAAATTTAAAAAAAAGAGGAGTTTTAGGTTCATAAGAAAATTAGGAGGAAGGTACAGAGATTTTGGCATATATCTGCCACCATCTTATTTGCATATAGTCTCCCCCATTATCAATATCACTCACTAGAATGGTACATTAGTTACCAAGACTGAACCTATGTTGACACATCATAATCACCCAAAGTCCATAGTTTACCTTAGGCTTCACTCTTGGTGTTCTGCATTGTCTGGGTTCGGACAAATGTATAATATATGAGGTCTATCCAGAAGGTTATCCAGCCATGTAATATGAAAAATCGAGACACTGAGTGAACAAGATACAAGATACAAGAAACAATATACATAGCACAATGACACCTCAGTCCTGCTGCAATGTAGGCACCTTGGGACCTCACACAGTTCTCCCAGTTGCCATCAGCTGTCCTGTTATATTTTCTGGAATCTCATCAATGGTCTGAAATCTCTTCCCTTTCAAAGGTGATTCTAGTTTTGGGGGAAAGCCCAAAGGTGCAGGGTACCAAATCTGGCCTATAAGGAGACTGAGTCACCTAGGTGATCTGATGTTTTGCCAAAAAATTGCAGGAGATATGATGTATGAGCAGGCACATTTTCTTGATAAAGCTGCCAATCACCAGTTGCCCACAGCTGCAGCCTTTTGAATTATCTGAATAGTTTCCGTGGAGGTATGTTCAAGTTTAACACAAAGTTTGTTGCAGATCCGTTTCTCTACTTGCTCATTTTGAATGCAATGGCCACAGTACACGTGCTCAATTAATGGCATCCACCGCCCTCCCTGACTAGTACAGTGAAGTCATCATTGTTCACACACGCACATTTCACTTCACTCTTCTTGGCTGCCAGCTTACCTCAATGTTGTGCAAACTCTTCTCATTAACAATAGCTGGGCTTTTTCCGGACATACCTCAGCTTATATCGATCATTATAATATCATACAGAGGATTTTCACTGCTCTGCAAACCCCCCTTTATTCTTTGCCTGTTCATTTTCCCACCCCAACCTGTATCCCTGGCAACCACTGATTGTATTTTATTGCACCCCTAATTTTGCCTTTTCCAAATGCCACATAATTGGAATCATACGTTATTTAGCCTTTTCAAATTGCCTTTTTTCATTTAGGAATATGCATTTAAGGTTTCTTCATGTCTTTTCATGGCATGATAACTCACTTCCTTTTAGTGCTAAATACTTCGTTGTTTATATATATTACAGTTTATCCATTAATCTACTGAATTCTGGACATCTTTGTGCTTCTAAGTTTTGCCAATTTTGAATAAAGCTTCTATAAACATATATGTGCAGGTTTTTGTGTGGGCATGTTTTCATTTCCTTTTGGTAAATACCAGTGAGCCTGATTACTGGATTGTGTGGTAAGAGCATGTTTATTTTTGTAAGAAACCACCAAACTGTCTTCCTAAGTGGTTGTAGTATTTTGCATACTTAATAGCAGTGAATGAGAGTTGTGCCATGTGTTCAACAATATTTGGTGTTGTCACTGTTCTGAATTTTGGCCATTCAAATAGGTGTATAGTTGTATCTCTTTTTTGTTTTAATTTGCATTTCCCTGGTGACATGATGTTAAGCATCTTTTCATATGCTTATTTTCCATTTGTGTATTGTATTGGGTGAGGTGTCTGTTTAGGTTTGTAGCCTGTAGTTTAGTCTAATGGTTCGTGTTCTCATCGTTGACTTTTAAGAGTTCTTTGTGTATTTTGGATAATAGTTTTTATCTGATAAGTCTTTTTGCAAGTATTTTTTTCCAAGTCTGTGGCTTGTCTTTTCATTCTTTTGACAGTGTCTTTCACAGAGTAGTTAATTTTAAATTTAATGAAGTCCAGCTTACCAGTTGTTTCTTTGCAGGATCATGCATTTGGTGTTACATGTAAAAAGTAATTCTCAGTTGCAAAATGATCTAGATTTTCTCGTTATCTTCTGAGTTTATAATTTTGCATTTCACATTTATTTTTACTTAAGTTTGATAATGTCAGTCTTTCAATTTTGTTCTTTGTTCTTCAATACTGTGTTGGCTATTCTGTATCTTTTGTTTTTCTGTGTAAATTTTAGAACCCATTTGTTGATACCCAGAAAATGACTTGCTGGGATTTTGATGAGTTTTGCTTCGAATCTGTTCATTAAGTTGGAAAGAGCTGACTTGTTTACAATATTGAGTCTTTCTATCTGTGGACATGCAATATGACATATTTATTTAGTTCTTACTTGATTCATTCATCAGAGGTCTCTAGTTTTTCCCATATGGATTTTGCATATATTGTTAGTTTTATACCCAAGTTTTCATATTTTGGGGAGCTAGTATAAGTGATACTGTATTTATTTGTTTATTTATTTATAAGAGATTTTATTTATTTTTAGAGAGAGGGGAAAGGAAGGAGAAAGAGAGGGAGAGAAATATCAATGTGTGGTTGCCTCTCACATGCCCTACTGGGGACCTGGCCCACAACCCAGGCATGTGCTCTGACTGGGAATCAAACCAGTAAACCTTTGGTTTGCAGGCCAGTGCTCAATCCACTGAGCCACACCAGCCAGCTGATATTGTGTTTTTAATTTTAAATTTTATTTGAAGAATTGTTTCTGATATATAGGAAAGCAATTTATTTGTATATATTGACCTTTTACCCTGCAACCTTACTTTAATTTTTGGTTAGCTCCAATAGTGTTTTTGTTGAATGTTTCAGATATTCTACATGGATAATCATTATCCCTCCACTATTTTTACATGTTACATATACTATTTTGCTTTGTCTGTTACTTTAGAAAATTAGTAATATGACTTTTTAATTTATTTTAATGTTTATGTCAAATCCCAGTTTAAAATAATACAAAGTACAAATATTATAATAGAATATAAATCCCTATAGAGTCCTGTCAGATACTTCTGCAGAGGTGTGTGTGTGTGTGTGTGTGTGTGTGTGTGTTTAAAAGTATTTTATCCTGAGACAGTTTTTAAGTATAAGGAAATGCACCTTTCTCTTAAAGCAATTCAGAGTCCTAGATGTAAAAAAGAGCATGGATCTTCTTCTTTATTTTAGTATTTTTGTATAAAAATTGGGAAGAAAAATGGGATAATTATATTATTGTATTATAAAATGGGATAAATATATTATTATATTTTTGTGTTTAGCTAATATTTATTTCTTAATCTAAATGGTTTTATATGCCCTGGCCAGGTGGCTCAGTTGGTTAGAGTGTCATCCCATATACCAAAAAGTTGTGGGTTTGTTCTCTATTAGGGCACATATGGGAGGCAACCAGTTGATGTTTCTCTGTTACATCAGTGTTTTCTCTCTGTTTCTCTTCCTCTCGCTCTAAAATCAACACATACCCTTGCATGAGGATTAAAAAATAAAATAAATGGTTTTATGCCTCTGAGCTAAGAAGCCTCCTATTAGTTTTTTTAACTTCATATGTTTTGTTGATATATTTTTTTGTTTATTTCGTTTTTAAAAATAGAAACTTAAGTTCAGTTCAAATAAAGACTTTTTTCATCCAAATTACAATTCTGCCACCTAGTGTCTACATGTGGATTTTTAGGGCATAATATTTCTTTTTGAGAATAACTTTTAACTTTATTCTTAGCTTTTAGATATTCTGTTTGGCAATAGTAACTTTAAAAAGGGAATTTATCTTTATTAATCTTATTGAGGAATTAGATTTTAAGTATTTCACATGTTAAAGCTCATAAATTATTTATAAATTCATTGTACAAATTTGCTAATTTTTTACCCAGGATGTTTGCACAATTGAATTTTATAATGAGTAATTTTACTTTCTTAGAGTCGAGGTGGAAAAAAGTTTCTTCCTGTACTGAAGGAAATCTTGGACAGGGATCCCTTGTCTCAACTGTGTGAGAATGAAATGGATCTTATTTGGACTTTGCGGCAAGATTGCAGAGAGAACTTCCCACAGTCACTGCCAAAATTATTACTGTCAATCAAATGGAATAAACTTGAGGATGTTGCTCAGGTAACAAAAGATCATTCTATAGTACCTTTTGGGAATATATATTACTTTTCTTGATTTTGTGTAAATTTTCCTTTTCTACATAGATATATTGCTAAGGTTTGATAATTTTCTTTGAAGTTTTAAATTCTTAAGTATAATCTAAGTAGTAGTCCAGAAAGTTTTAAGATTTAATTAATTTATTTTTTTTTAATTTTATTTATTTATCTTTAGAAGGGAAGAGAAGGAGAGAAATATCAATGTACGGTTGCTTTTGGTGCATCCCCTGCTGGGAACTGGCCTGCAACCCAGGCATGTGCCCCAATGGGGAATCGAACCGCAATCTTTTCGTTCGCAGGCCTGTGCTCAATCCACTGAGCTACACCAGCCAGGGCCGAAAGTTTTAAGATTTAAAAATCTCAGATTCAGTGTAGATTTTCTGTATCTTTCACTAAACATAATAAAAACAACAGTCTTGGTATAATTGTCTACCACCAGCAGGTTGTAGGTCCTGGACTACTTCTAACAGTTCATGGTACTACAAAGTTTTAATCTTAAGACCATTTACAATGACTATTCTAAAATGAATATCTATTTTTAAATATTACCTCTGTTTGTGAAGTTATATTATTAAACAATGAATGAATGGGTCAACAGTGAAATCAAGGAAGAAATAAAAGGATACTTTGAAACAAATGAAAGTGAGGACCCAACAATCCACAATGTGTGGGATGCTGGGAAAGTAATCCTAAGAGGGAAATTCATAGTATTGCAGGCCTATTTCAAAAAACAAGAAAAACCTCAAATAATCTAACTTCATACTTTAAGACACTTAAACAAGAACAACAAAAAAAGTGAAAAGTAGAAGGAAGTTAATAATAAAGATCAGAGCACAAATAAATGAACAGAGAATCTACAAAAATGATACAAAAAAGTAATGAACCCAGGAGCTGGTTCTTTGAAAAGATAAGCAAGATTGACAAACTTTTAACCAGACTCATCAAGAAAAAAAGAGGGGGACCCAAATAAAATCAGAACTGAAAGAGGAGAAATAACTGACACCAAAGAAATACAAGGGATGATAAGAAAATGTTATGAATGACTATATGCTGAGAAACTGGACAACCTGGATGAAATGGATAAATTCCTAGAAACATATACAATATTCCAAAACTAAATCAGGAAGAATCAGAATTTGAACAGATAGATTATGCCTAGTGAAATTGAAGTAATAATCCAAAAAAACTACTAAGAAACAAAAGTGCTGGGCTGGATGGCTTCACAGGGGAATTTTACTAAACATTTCAAAAAGAATAACACCTGTGCTTCTCAAACTGTTTCATAATATTCAAGGGGAGGGAAGGCTCTTAAACTCATTTTACGAGGCCAGCATTATTCTAATTCCAAAGCCAGGTAAAGACACTACAAAGAAAGGAAATTATAGGCCAATATCCTTGATAAACAGACACTAAAATCCTCAACAAAATATTAGCAAACTGACTATAGCAATGCATCAAAAAGATCATACTTCATCATCAAGTAGGGTTTATTTCACGGATGTACGGTTGGTACAACATTCAAAAATCAATAAATGCGATTCACCACATAAACAAAATGAAGGATAAAAACCACACAATCATACCAATAGATACAGAAAAACATTTGATAAAATCCAGCACTCATTTATGATCAAAACTCTCAGTGAAGTGGGACTAGAGATGTCATACCTAAACATAATAAAGGCCATATACGAAAAACCCATAACCAGCATCCTACTGAACAGGCAAAAACTACAAGTGTTCCCCATGAGATTGGGAACAAGGCAAGGATGTCCATTATCATCTCTCTTATTCAACCTAGTACTGGAAGGCCTAGTCACAGCAACCGGACAAGAAGAAGAAATAAAAGGCTTCCAAATTGGAAAGGAAGAAGCAAAACTGTTTATTTGTAGGTGACATGATACTGGACACAGAGAATCCCAGAGATTCCACCAAGAAACTACTAAAACCAATAAATGAATCCAGAGTAGCAGCATACAAAAGTAATATCCAGAAATCAGTTACATTTTTATATGCCACTAACAAACTAACAGAAAGGGAACTTAAGAAAACAATCCCATTCATAATTGCTACAAAAAGAATAATGTACCTAGCAATAAATGTAACAAAGGATGTAAAAGACCTGTACTCAGAAAATTAGAAGAAATTTCTGAGGGAAAGAAATTGAAGAAGATACAAATAAATGGAAGCACAAAAATGTTCATGGATGGGAGGAATTAACATCATTGAACTGTCCATACTGCCCAAAGCAATCTATAGATTCAACGAAATTTCTATTGAGATGCCAATGATGTATTTCACAGAACTAGAACAAATATTTCAAAAATTTATATGGCCCCAGACAGCAACACTGATCTTGAGAAAGAAGAACAAAGCTGGAAGAATCACGTTACCTAATATCAAACTATACTATATGTCGAAAGTAATCAAAACAGCATAAAAACAGACACATAGATCAATGTAACAAATTAGAGAGCCCAGAAATACACCCACACCTTTATAGTCAATTAATAATCAACAGAGGAAGTAAGCACATACAATGGGCTAAAGATAGATTGTTCTATAAATGGTATTGGTAATATTGGACAGATACGGGCAGAAAAGTGAAATCAGATCACCTTCTTATACCATACACAAGAATAAATTCAAAATGGATCAAATACTGAAATGTTAGACCCGAAACCATAAAAATCCTAGAAGAAAACATAGGCAGCAAAACCTTGGGCATTGCTTATAGTAATATTTTATCAGCTATATGTCCCCAGGCAAGGGAAACAAAAGAAAAGAACAAATAGGACTACATCAAACCAAAAAGTTTTTGCATAGAAAGGAAATCATCAACAAAGTAAAAAGACAACCCACCGAATGGGAGAATATATTCACAGATACATCTGAAAAGGGGTTAACATCCAAAATTTATAAAGAACTTACAAAACTCTATATGAAAAAAAGCAAACAACCCAATTAAAAACTGGGCAAAGAACCTTAATAGACACTTCTCTAAAGAAGTCGTACAGATGGCCAATAGACATATGAAAAGATGTTCTGTGTCACCTAATGATCAGAGAAATGCATATTAAAACCACAATGAGATACCATCTCATACGAGTTGGGATGGCTGTCATCAAGAGATCAACGGACAAAAAGTGATGATGAGGATGTTGAGATAGGGGAACCTTTTGCCCTCTTGGTGGGAATGCAGACTGGTATAGTCACTGTGGAAAGCAGCATGGATACCTCAAAAAATTAAAAATGGATCTGACTTTTAACCCAGAGACCCCACTTCTGGGAATGTATCCGAAGGAACACAAAACTTATTTGAAAGAATATAAGCTCCCTTATGTTCATTGCAGCATTATTTACAATCACCAAGATATGGAAGCAGCCCAAGTGTCCATCAGTAGATGAGTGGATAAAACAACTGTGGGACATTTACACAATGGAATACTACTCGGTTGTAAAAAATAAGAAAATTTTACCCTTTGCAACAGTGTGGGTGGACCTGGAGAACATTATACTAAGTGAAATAAGGTGGTCAGAGAAAGACAAATACCATATTTCATTCATGTGGAATCTAATGAACAAACTAAACTAACAAAGAAAATGGGGACAGATTCATAGATGGGGAGGAGGATGACAGTGGGGGGTGTTGAGGAGGTGAAGGGGTTAAGGAAAAAGGACTCATGGACATGGGCAACAGCGTAGTGATTGCTGGGGGTGGGGTGTATAGGGGTACTAAACAATAATGGAAAAATGTACAATAAAGAATTAAAAAATGAAAAAGAAAATGAGTTACTTAAAAAATATCATCAGTGAACTTCAATATTTTGGAAATGAGAAAATACCTTTTAATTTAGCCACTACATATCCAATCATGTATTATTGACTTTGGGGGGTGCTGACCTATGAGGTCTTTCTGGGAAAAGTCCCACCATTGTTAATATACCAAGGACAGTTTATGCTACATTGACATGACCTGACAGCGAAGAAGAGTGGAATAAAATGTGCATGCCTAAACAATGACCACTTCACTGTTCTCGTCAGTGGGAGTGGTAAATGCTGTTGAGTGGTTGAGTGAGCATGTGTACTCTGTGACTGTCACATTCAAAATGACTGAGTAGAGCAATGAATCTGCATCAAATTTTGCATTGAACTTGAACATACCTCCATGGAACTAGTCAGATGATTCAGAAGGCTTTCAGGGACGATGTAATGAATGCAATGTAAATAAAAGTGTGGCAAAAATTCTTTAAAGATGGTCAAGAATCTAAATGATCCATTTTCTGGAAGACCTGCAATAAGGAGACCACCTAAGAATATTGAACGTGTAACAGGCTGCAGTCAACAAAGACTTCTGGCTTTTCCCAAAACTAAAATCACCTTTGAAAGGGAAGAGACTTCAGACTGTTGATGAGATTGCGGAGTAGATGAGGCAGCTGATGGTGATTCTAACAAAGGATTTTTGCAGAATGTTTTGAATAGTGGAAAAGATGCTGAGAGAACTGTGTGAGGTCCGAAGGTACCTCCTTTGAAGGGGACTGAGGTGTCATTGTCCTATGTACAATGTTTCATGTATCTTATATCCAACAAATGTCTCTATTTTTCATATTTTGTGTCTGTGTACTTCCTGGACACTCCCTGTAATTAATAAGGGGTAAATAATTTGTAGAATTAAATAATAAAATAGAAACTATTTTTCTTTTCTTTTCAAAGTTCATGTTGTACACAAAAGCTCAAATGACATACACAAAGCAGCCAGCAGGTAGTAACAGACCACTTCTCACAACACAATTTTGAGATTGGGCAGCCAGTTGAGAGAAAGTCTTCCAAGTCCTTGCCATCTGTGTTCCATAATTTTGTAACTCTGATGTTGTATACATTTTGTCTATCTTCCTGGGGGTTGATGTCAGCGATAACCAAGAAAACCTGGTGAGATAAATCAAATATTAAGCAATAATACTTTGTTAGATGGGGTTGAGCTTTAGAGGCCTCATTCATATTGTCAAAAAATTTGTTTGCTCTCCATAACCAGTTTTCTTCCCACTTACCATCCCTGATAAGAATGCATGCTATAAATATATCGAAAGCTTGAGGAGTAAGGAACTCTTGCCAGCAGCAACTGTGATGAGTGTCTTTGAACTATGATGGGATACAGATAAAATATAAACTTTTAATTTAATTCTCAAAGCCCCAGTCTCACACAAAAACTCAATAGTTCAAAAGGTTTGGGCTCTCTGGAACTAGGGTTGTCAAAGATGTAGCTATGTGTACCCAGACCAGTCCTCCACCTGCACTTCCAGCTCATCTCCCCAAGGAATTCTATTTCTGTCCTGCATCTAGACCATTTCTAAGTGGCATCTGTAAATAGGAGACTGGTTGTATTTATCTTGTTTTTAGAAAATAAACAACTAGGTGCTATTTATTTCTAATGGGGTATTTACTGTGATTTAAAGGGTTTAAATGTGTTATGGTCAATAAAATGTTCAATTATGATAAGATTCTCTTAAAATATTAAGAGTTCACAGTAAAGTCAAAGTAATTTTATGTTATTAATGAACTTTATATGTAAATTGCCCACTATTAACTTGAGCCTTGCAACTTTTATTTGTACTTTGAATTTTACTGTCAACTATTTCTTGGTCATTTTGTGCATGTGTACACATTCCTTCCTTCCTTTCTCCCTCTTTCCTTTAAAAATTAAAATTGGTTAATTGCTGTTGATTGTAGAGTTCATATATTCAGTGTATCATTTATTTCCAGGTAAGTACTTAATAGCTTTTTTCCTGTTTATCTATAGAATATCTCAGCTATGACAATCTTTATTAATCTGTATTAACAGGAATAGATTTTTGAGGCCTCTGTAATTACAAGTCTGCTTCTTTCTTTTGACCCATCACTGCTCCTAACTCCTGTAATTTCTGAACCAGTTTCAATTTTTTAAACAGCTTCAGGCACTACTTCAGATTTGGCCTAAACTGCCCCCCCGGGAGGCCCTGGAGCTTCTAGATTTCAACTATCCAGATCAGTATGTTCGGGAATATGCTGTGGGCTGCCTGCAGCAGATGAGGTATCTCATGTACTTGGCTTTTTGCTGGGCAAGGAACTGCTTGGGTGTGGATAGAGAAGGTGATGTCTATTTGAATGTCTCATAAGAAAGGAAGGGGTTAGGAATTGTTCAGTGTTTCATAAAACATTTATTCCTCCCTCCCATCCCCCATGTGCATGTGTTTCTATGCGTGCACACTTACTCTGTGTTGTAAAACAAACAAAAACATACTGGATCAGAGGTCCCCAAGATCACCCTCAGGTTCCATGATTCACTAGGAGGACTCATAGGACTCAGTATATAATCATACTCTTGGTTATGATTTATTACAGCAAAAGGATACAGAGCAGAATTGGCAAAGGAAAAAGATTCATGGGGCAAAGTCTGGAGGAAACCAGGCAAGTTTCTAAGGTTCCTTTCCCAGTGGAGTCACACTAAATACACTTAATTCCCTCAGCAACAAGGTATAGCAACATGTTTGAAATATTGTCTACCAGAAAAGCTCATTAGAGATTTAGTAGGTAGGCTTTTTAATAGGGGCTAGTCTAGCATATACCAAAACTCTAGAGTTCCAGAAGAAAAATGGATATTTAGTATAAACCATATGTTTGCACAGTTGAGGCACACTCTTACCTGTTACGGTGGTAGAAAGCCTTTTGAAATCTTTGTTTCCAGATGCCAGCCAAGGGCAACCTTTTTCAGGTGATAGCAGTCAAGCCTGCTCTGTTAACTTTTTCTACCACTCAGAATAAACAAATGTTAATATTTCATGATGATTATTTTTAAAAACTTAAAAAACAATTTTAGGCAAATAACATCGTAGTTAAAGATGAAGTCCTCATAGTTTCCTCACTGAGCTCTGATCAATTCCTTTACTTTCCAGAGGCAACTGTGATCATGAATTTGTTGTATATCTCTTTTCTATACATTTTTTGTATTTTTACCACACTTCTACATCTATAAAAATAAAGATACAGAATGCTATTATAATATATTTAAAATTCACACAAATGTGTTTTATAGTATGTATTTTTTTACATTTTGCTTTTTAAAGAATTCAGAGTTCGGTTTTTGGATTCAGTGTTTCCCATTACAGATAAAAGTTGTTTATTCCTTTTACCATTGTGTAGTATTCTGTCATAGGGATATATCTTAATTTTTCCATTTTCCCGTTGAAGAACATTTTAAGTTTTCTTCCAACTTGTCTGTTATAAACAGTGCTGCTGTGAATATGCTTGTACAGTCCCCTATGGTTGATACTGTGTAGAAGTCCATGGGATTTATTTGCAAGTAGTGGACTTCAGATTCTTATCTTACCTGACTACTGGAATTGCCTCTGATGGGAGTGTGTTTACACGTAAATGTTTGGGGATGGACACCCAATAGAGGAGCACTACCCATAATTAATTCAACTCAGTTTAATTAAAATACTATGTTATTAATTCAGTAATTGAAGCACTCGCTTAAAAATGCACTTATTTTCTTATCCTTTAAGCTAAAGTTAAGATTTTAATTGTTCATTGGTTATCTGAGAGAAAGAGTTGCTTAACCCTAATGATAGAAAAGGAAAATAAATTGCTAAAGTACTGATATAATTTTTGTTTTAAAAAAACGATTGGTTGACTGAGTACAAAGCTTTTCCAGCATATCCAGAAATTAGTACCTAATTTTATTGTAACTCTGGGCTGATTGTAAATACAGTTATCAGTTCTATCAACCTGAATAATTTAATAAAAATGCTCTGTGTATCTGTTCTTTGCTCCCATCCACTCTTTATTCTGCCTATCTGAAATCCTCAGCCTTTCTTTTGTGTTAGTGGAATAGTGAATGTAAGCATGCAACAATCCTGAACTCCCCAAAAACAATGTGTTTCAGTAAGTTAGTATTTGATAGTTTGATAGGAAGAGATCTTTTTCTGGTGCAGGGTGTTGAGTGACTTACTATGTCTTTTGTTTTTTCAGTGATGAAGAACTCTCTCAGTATCTTTTACAACTGGTGCAAGTTTTAAAATATGAGCCTTTTCTTGATTGTGCCCTCTCCAGATTCCTATTAGAAAGAGCACTTGCTAATCGGAGGATAGGGCAATTTCTATTTTGGCATCTTAGGTAAGTGTTTTATATTTCAATTTGAGTCCACCTTGTGCTTTTATAAGTATAAATCAGCATAAGATAGGACATCGAACAAAAACAGCCCGCTGCTTTAATTGTTTCTGAGCCATCTATAACATTGATACTCTTCCTGGTGTCTTCTATTTCTTGATAACCCAAACTCTTAACTTTCACTATTTGGCAAAATAATTTAGTTAAGTATCCCTCCATGCCTCCTTGATTTTTAACTGAAACTAATCATTAATGTGTTGCTATTTTCCTATAAAGTGTACTTACTATTTGTAATATATTTGAACTAAAAAACAGATTTACTAATTCCTTCCATAAGTTTGTGTTGGATAAAGATTTTAAAGTTTTCCTGTAAAACAGCATCTTTATTTTCAGCTTCTTTATTAACTAGGTCATTTTTAGAAATACATGAACCTTATTTCACCCAGTTTGTAGAGGAGTAAAATCAGGGAAGAGGACTAAAGTTCTTTTGTTTCCTATGAAAAATACGGATTCCTCATTTCTGATCCTACTGAGACCTTTTTGTTTTTTTCATCTGGACTTCAGATAATTGAGAGTAATGATTATCAGAAAATAGAATAACTTTCTTTTAGGCCAAACTTCCTGAGGAAAATAAGTTCTATATTTGTAATATTTTTATGTTAATTTTAGGCATTATATTTCTAGATCTTGATTTTTTTAAGAGTCTTTCCTTATTTTTAACTTATTTCTTTTATTATCCAGTTAAACTTTCTTATTTTAAACCTCCCAGGGAATCAGGTATTCCTTCCTCTTTCAGTTGTGCACAGCATTCATTAAATGAGAAAAATTGAGTAGAAGCTAACAGTGGGACTAGTCAATTTTGTGATATGAGTCATATCTTTGTAATTATTTCTAAATTGGCAATATTACCTTTTCACTCCAAAAAGCAAATAAGATAAGATGGAAAGTTTGGGGGTTTCTTGGAATAAAGAATCAAATAATTATAAAGTCTTATATCTTTTTGAACTGTGATGTTTAAAGAATTAGAAAGTTAACTGTCCCACTAAAATTTTTTCACAAGAGGACATGTTCTTTTTTGGGGGGTTAACATCTTAAGTTAATTTTATGATAGAATAAAGAATTCAGTACTTGTATTTGGTGATCTGAAGTGTTTGATAAACCATCATAATATTATTAACTTTCTGCAGGTCAGAAGTGCACATTCCTGCTGTCTCCATACAATTTGGTGTCATCCTTGAAGCGTACTGCCGGGGAAGCGTAGGGCACATGAAAGTGCTATCCAAGCAGGTATAAGCTTATTTTAATCTTCATGTTCATTTTGCCACATGGTATTTGATAAATTGTATCATATGCTATTTCATTTCATTATTTTAGAGGTTTTAATAACTAAAGCAGATTAATACATTTTTTAAATCAAAATTTGACTCAAGAAATGAAATTTCAACAAACTTAGTAGAAGATCACTAATTGAATGCTACCTGACAAATTAATCAGGGTTCCCCATAGTATTTATAACAATACTAGGAAATACCTAGTTAGATGTGCTTAACAGTGGGTTTGTTGATGATGATGACAATAGTCATGAAATCTTTAGGCTCCTTTTTTCATGTCCCTGAATTACTCTTTCCAAATCATGTAGTGTTTATGATTCATATGCTCTACCATTTGTTTTAGACAAAGATATTTTGAAATCTAAGTCCATAGGTATTAAAAGAATTCATAATCCTCAACCTGCTTTTTAAAAACTGTATATGTATATATGTCTGAAATTGTGATATTTTCCTATAGTCCCTTATTTCCTACCCAGCCTTCATTTTTTGTTCATTGTAGATGATGGCATATTAGTGATATTAATAGGTCAGATATTGTTTACTTTAGGCTAGTAATCACACTAAGTGTTTTCAGCGTGGTATCTTACTCTACTCTGTTAATAATATGCCATAGTACTTACCAGCACTGTCTAGATTTGACAAGGGAAAAAACTAAGGCTCCAAGAGTTTAATTTACGTACCTGAAAACTCACAACTATTGTTTTATTGTTGTTCAGTTACAGTTGTACTGCCTTTTTCCCATTGCTCTCCCCTTCCCTGACCCCTTGCACTCCTGCTCCCACAGTCAATCTCATTGTTCATACCCATGAGTCCTTTATTCATGTTCTTTGACTTGCCCCTTCCTCTATTTTTTTAAGATTTTATTTACTTATTTTTAGAGAGAGGGGAAGGGAGGGAGGGAGAGAGGAGGAGAAACATTGATGTGCCAGAGAAACATCTATTGGTTGCCTCTTGCATGCTCTCAACTGGGGACCTGGCTCACAACCTAGCCATGTGCCCTGACTGGGAACCAAACTGGCAACTTTTTGGTTTGTGGTATGATGCCCATCCCACTAAGCCACATGAGTCCAGGCAAAACTCACAACTATTAAGTGACAGAAATAATATTCGAAGTTAGATCTGTTTAGGTAGAAAATGAAAGTGTTTTTTAAAAATCTGGGAGTTTTTATACCTTGTAGCAGCACAAATCTTTTATTTTTAAGCCAAAACTTAAACACAGACCCAGTATGTATTATAAGTCAACAATAGTGTCATTTTATTAGTCTAAATGTATTTTTTAAGTTAAAATAAAATAGAAGCCACTTAACAGAATATAAAATTTCAAGATTAGGGATTATTGTTAATAGTGGTAGTCTCAATATGCAGTTATTTCTGTATTTTGTTTTTGAGATAATCCTGATTCATACAGCTAAGTAATTGGAAATAGTAATGAGTTTTTAAATAGCTTGCTTGCAAATGAGAAGCACTTCTGCCCTCAAAATAAAGCAGCCCTGTATCTCAGCTTCTTCTGCTGGAATCCTCCATTGACAGATAACAACACTCTGCTCTTGTCCTCTAGTAGTACTTTTTCTTCTGAGTTGAGTATTATCTAACCTCACACAAGAAGGTTTTGTTAATGATTTGATATATATTTACTCAGAACTTATTATATGCCAAGGTTTGTGTTAGGTATCAGTTATGTGAAATCCAAGTAGCTATGTTGCTGTTGTCAAGGAGTTTATATTTCATAGAGTAGGTGTACAAAAGAGTGATTAAGTATTATGATACCAGTGTTATGGGCATATCACAGAAGCACAAGATACACAAGTAATCTACCCTAGGACATTAGGGAAGAGTTCACAGTAGAAGGGACAGTTTTGGGTATTGATGGTCTAGTTGGTATTAGCTAGATGAAAAGTGTTAGTGTTCTACAGAGAAGCAGAACCAATGGGATATATATTTATGTATATATTTAGAGAGAGAGTGAACAGGGTGGGGGTGAGATTGAGAATTATAAAGAATTGGCTCATATGATTATGGAGGCTGAGAAGTCCCAAGACCAGCAGTCAAATAAGCTGGAAAGTTGATGGTGTAGTTCCAGTTTAAATCTGCAGGCCTGAAAACCAGGAGAGTCAATAGTATGTAAGTTCTGGTCAAAAGCAGACAAGCTTGACACTAAGAAGGCTCATCTTTCAGTTCAATTCAGAAAGCAGGAAAAGACCTATGTCCAAGACCTATGACCTATGTCCAGACCTATGTCTGATAATAAGGCACGTGGAATGTCTACTTACTCTCAGAAGGGTCTGCCTTTTCGAGGTATTCAGGACGTCATATGTTTGGTTGAGGCCCACTCACATTAGGGAGGGCAACCTACTTTTCTCAATCTACTGACTCAGATGTTAATCCCATCTGAAAACACCCTCACAGACATTTATAGAATAATGTTGGATTAAATATCTGGACATTCCATAGTTTAGTCAGGCTAATACATAAAATTAACCATGACAGATCAATTAAGCATCCATATACAGATTGTTAAACTATACTTAATCTACAAATAAAGACAACAACAAAGTCAAAATTGCACCTAGCATGATACAACTACCCTGAGTATAACTATAAAATGCACTAACCTCTTTCCCAGAAGAGGAGATAATGCCCTTGAGTGGTGTTTCTTCTTTTCCTTGACATCCTATAAATTAATTACTGTGATGTAAAATAAACAACACTTTAATACTATGACATAAAGTCAGTTTATCTTATGTTACCTGACAAGGGAATAAGAACAGGAAGAAACAAAGACATTTCCTATAAACATACAATACAAAACACAAATAACAGAAGAAATATTCATGACAATTAGTCCTCATTTTTGTAAGTGGTTACATAATCATAGCTGGTATTTATCACTAGTTTCTTCCAACCTATTCTGTATTTCCTTTGCCTTTAGCAAGCTCCTCAGTTGTCTGTGATTCTTTATCTGCTGAAATGACCCAAACCTTCATTCTTGAAGGGTCTAGGTCATTAGTTGTCCTACTGAATTGGCTTATAATTTGGACCTTAATCATAGAGATTGATAATGCCAAGAGATCTCCCGTATTCTAGAAAAACTCTTCGTTACCTCCATTGTGGAGTAGTAGGCCAGTTTCTCCTTGGTGCTCAGCATCAATCACTCCAGCCAGCATCATAATGCCCTTCTTTGCCTGTTGTCCCAGAGGCTCTGATTGAGAAGTGCAAAATGGCTAGGAAGGAGTATTCAAGTTCAATGGCATCATTGTTGTGTCTCCCAGTGAGAGCATTCCTCCCTTTGTAACTAAGGCCACTATGTTAGCAGAACGTATGGTCACAGGAACAGTAAGTAACAGTTTTGCTAGTGGTTCACTGTGGGAGTAATAGTAGTATCACCTCCATTTCCACACCTTGATTCCTGGACCCATGAATTCTAGCAATAGGACAAACAGCATCATTTATTTGCTACTGATTTAGAGCAGATACAGTCTTCTGGGGAACCTTGCCACAGCATGCAAGGTATTGTCACCTAGTTGGTGCTGTAACTGAGTCTTTAAAAGGCCATTTCACTTTTCTGTCAAGCCAACTACTTTAGGATTGTAGGGAATATGGTAAGACCAGTGAATTCTATGAGCATGAGCCCATTGCTGCATTTCAGTTTCTGAGAAATGAGCATCTTGATCAGAAGCAGTGCTGTGTGGAATACCATGATGATGGATAACTGTAAGTCCACAGATGGTAGTTTTGGCAGAAGCATTGAGAGCAGGGAAGGCAAATTCATATCCACTGTACTTTTCTAACTCTAACTCATTTGAATTGCCAGAGAAACTCCCATAGGTTTTCAGAGATAATTTTAATAGTGATAATTTTTCATTCATGATAAAACCAATTATATCTGATCCCTCTTTTTGGAAAGCTCATTAATGATGGCAGTAATAGCTAACCACTTATTATGGGCCATTTATTCTTCTTTATTCTTTTTAATTTTATAGTTCCCTTAAATCAGTCTCATACTTGTCAGTGTCTTTCGTGTTCATGGCTACCACCTTAATCCAGTCCATTATCTTCTCATCTGCATGTCTTCATTAACCTCCTAACTTGTGCCCTTTGTTCCCATTCTTGTCCCCTACACTCCACCCCCTTTCTCTACAGATAAAATTATTCTTTTTAAAATGTAGATGTGTTATCTCATTTTCTTTTTTTCTTTTTTTTTTATTGATTATGCCATTACATTTGCTCTATTCCCCCCTCCCTTCCCCTCCACCCTGCATACCCCTCCCCCACCATTTCCCCCTTTAGTTCATGAACATGTGTCTCAAATTCTTTAGATTCTGTATTTCCCCTACTATTCTTACCCTCCCCCCCCTATCTATTTTCTATCTACTGTCTATACTATTTATTTTCTGTACCTTCTCCCCCCTTCCCCTCCTCCCACTCCCCTGTTGCTAACCCTCCCTGTGATCTTCATTTCTATGGTTCTGCTCCTGATCTAGCTATCCTCTTAGTTTGCTTTTGTTTTAGGTGTGGTTCTTAATAACTGTGAGTTTGCTGTCCTTTCACTGTTCATCTTTTTTATCTTCTTTTTCTTAGGTAAGTCCCTTTAACATTTCATATAGTAAGGGCTTGGTGATGATGAACTCCTTGAATTTGACCTTATCTGAGAAGCACTTTATCTGTCCTTCCATTCTAAATGAAAGTTTTGCTGGGTAGAGCAATCTTGGTTGTAGATCTTTGGTTTTCATGACTTGGAATACCTCTGTCCAGCCCCTTCTTGCCTGTAAGGTCTCTTTTGAGAAATCAGCTGACAGTCTGATGGGAACTCCTTTGTAGGTGACTGTCCCCTTAGCTCTTGCTGCTTCTAGGATTCTCTCCTTCATTTTAATCTTGGCTAATGTAATTATGATGTGCCTTGGTGTGTTCCTTCCCGGGTCCAACTTCCCTCGGGACTCTCCGAGCTTCCTGGATCTCTCGGAAGTCTATTTCCTTTGCCATCTTGGGGAAATTCTCCTTTATTATTTGTTCAAATAATTTTTCAACTGGTGGTTGTGCCTTTCCCCCCTTCTGGTACCCCTATAATTCGGATGTTGGAACGTTTAAAGATGTCTTGGAGGTTCCCAAGCCTCTCCTCATTTTTCTGAATTCTTATTTCTTCATTCCTTTCTGCTTGATCATCTTTTTCTTCTGTCTGGTCCTCTCCCTTGATTTGAGTCCCAATTTTCTTTCCATCACTATTGGTATCTTTTGTATCAGCATTCATTTCAATTAATTTAGCTTCCATATGTTTCTCTAATTTGTGACTAAAATCCACCAGTTCTGTAAGGATCTTTATAACCAGTGTTTTGAACTGTGCATCTGAAAGACTGGCTATTTCTTCATCACTTAGGTCTATCGGTTCTGGGGCTCTGAGTTGTTCTAGAGCCATTTTTGGTTTATTCGTGCTGTTTAGTGAGCGGAGCGAAGCCTTAGTTGTTTACCAGTACGGGGCGACCCAGGTCGCTGGTTTGTGACACTGTGTGTGGGGGCGGGGTCAGAGAGGGCGCGATGGCGTTCCTCTCCGCTAGCCCAGCACCTCCAGTCACTCAAACGCCTCAGGCTTGCTTATCCGATCCTAATTTTGGGAGCCTGCTGCACCGCGCGGGTTTCCCTTCTCACTGGTTTCTCCGCATGTAAATGCACGCGACTGAGCGACCCACCGCGCCTCTTCCCTGTGCGCTCCGGCAGCCAGCTCGCTGGCGATCAGCCCTCGGTTGCCTGCGTGCCCCGCGCACCGCCCCGGGAATTTTTTTCTTGCTAACCTGCTCTGCTTCTGGCCTCGCTCCTCGTACCGGTCCAGCCGAGTATCTAGTTGTCCTTTGGACTCCGTATTGTCGATTTTCCGTGTGGCTTGGTTGTGACTGCTGTTAAAAATAGTTGTTCTTAGATTTGGTTGTGCACAGAGGCGAGGTGGACCCTCCACCTACTTCTCCATCTTGGCGGAAGTCCTCATTTTCTTTTTTTTAAATCTCTGTAATAGTTTTTATTACATGGAGAATAAAAATCCAAACCCTTTGTCAAAACCTATAAGGCCACACTTGATGAAGTCCCTATTTCTTTGATCTCACTCATATGGTCAAACCATACTGGCCATTTTCTTGGTTCTCTGGGAACCTCAGCTTGACTTTTATAACAGCATAACATACATATGGTATATGTATGATCATTCTTACTTTTTTTTAGACTGATGACTAACAAGGGGAAGACTACCTTTTACATGGTAGTTCTTATTATCACTGTAAACCTGTAAAAAGACAAGGTGTTAAGCACTTGAAGTATTTGACTTATGGACATATGGGTATTCAGGACACTGTTCCAGGAAATGGGTGTCAACACAATTAGTGATGGGGCATGAAAATTCCCAACTGTAGAAACATGGGAGAAATTCAAATTTGAAATACTTCAAAAAGCTCCTGTTTGCATAGTCCATTTCTGTTTGTTCCCTTTTCATCACTGATTGCATAGCTTCTGAAATTGTTGAAATAAGGAGTGTCTGGTTTTGACAGATGACTAACTTGGCAGGTTTTAGCCACATCACTTTTATCATCAAGATACCTATGTGGCTTTCCCAGTTTCCTGTGAGTATGCCCTCAGCCTGTCTATAGAAACTGTGTGCCTGAATTTAGCTCCCTACAGAGTCTTAGTGGTTTCCTTGCAAAGAAGCAGAGTTTGAAAATGAAAAGAGGGTATAAAATAAATCTTCTGTTTATGGAAATTCAAGCCATGGTGTTAATAATTTTTTTGAAAACATGTTTATTTATTGATAGAGACAGAGACATACATTGATTTGTTGTTCCACCCATTTATGCATTCATTGGTTGATTCTTGTTATGTGCCCTGACCAGGAATCACACCCACAACATTGGCATATCAGGATGATGCTCCAGCCAATTGAGCTCCCTGGCCAGGGCCCATATGTTTTTGTATAAATATTTATATGCTTGTTATTTACAACTTACATATACTCTGTTTTATCATTAGTTGTTTCCACTTTTATAGCCATAGTGGTAAAATCTTATGATTTATGGTTAGCCATGGCTCTCTTACGGAATTTTACATAATATAGCATCGAACACCCTCAGTAATTAATGAAAGTTGACTTTTAAACATAGCGGATTTAAGTTGCCCATTGTTAATTCATATTATACTATTTGCATATGTTTTGGTAGCCAGTTACCTCATTATAAAAACAAGTAATTAATTTAGGCTTGGACAACAAATACTGTGACTGTCTGTATCTTATTTATTATAGAAACAATCCATTGTAACTCACCATTAGTGGAAAGAGAATATACTGAGAAGATGTCACATAACAGTGATGATAAGAAGCAGGTAGAAGGTTGAATGCCAGGAACTCCAGGGTTACTTGTATATAACTTTTCCTCTCATGCTATGGAGTGGGCCACATGTAGTGGTTCAGACTAATTGCATTCAGATTACAGCATTTCAAATTCTGTTGCTCAGTGAGATGTAGAGTTCTGAGTAGTTTAAGTTCCATACTTATCTTCTTACTCACAATCTATGTCCCTTTACTTTTCTCTGATTTATAAGATTCCATGTAAGAAAATAGTTTTAGAAAGTTTGAAAAATGGTGCTTTAAGTAACAAGTGAAAAAGTAAGTTTTTAAATACCGTTGTGTCTGTTGTAAGCCAAGTACCATTTTTACTTTAGCTGGTTGGGGTATGTGTGTATGTGTTGGAGTGGTTACTGATTAATATGGTCAAATTATATGATAGTACTTTATATTATTTTTAACCATGAATTAATTTTGATGGTGGGGAAACTTATTTTTCAGGTTGAAGCACTCAATAAGTTAAAAACTTTAAATAGTTTAATCAAACTGAATGCAGTGAAGCTAAACAGAGCCAAAGGGAAAGAGGCCATGCATACTTGTTTAAAACAGAATGCTTACCGGGAAGCCCTCTCTGGCCTGCAGTCACCTCTGAACCCATGTGTCATCCTCTCAGAACTCTAGTAAGTGACAGCCTGTGATATACTTAGTAAATCTTACATAAAAATGCAATAAAGAAAGGATTTCTAAGTGACTGCCTTGTAGGAAGAATAAGTTCATCTGTTAGCCCCAGTAAATGGAATATAATTAAAGAAGGGAAATCTTAAAAATCCTCGAAGGTTATTCTTATGTATAATAAGATGTATGTCTGCTAGCTAAATTTAACTGTGGGGTTAGTGAAAGTCATCACAAGTTAATTTCCTTTCAATTGTATGTATTAAATTCGTTTTCTATAACTGGTTTACAGGAGTCGAAAGTCCTATTAAGTAAAATGTTGGTACTTATCATTTAATAGTTAACATATTTTAAAATTGTTTACTAACTAAATTTCCTATTTCAAAATGAGATCTTGAATAAATTTTGAAAATTATTTTCCACTTTTTTACTTCTCTACAGAAGTAATAATAGAAAAGTAAAAGTGTGGATTTAGTATATCAGTAATCAAAGTTGATTCCTTTTTAAGCAATCAAGAATGAACTTTTAATAACCCTAATTTTAATTCCATAATATGTTCTGTTTGTTAATGACGGCATATAACAACATAAACTTAGAAGAAAAAAAGGAATTAAAAATTATTTATTGATTTTTGAGAGAGAAACATTGATTTGTTGTTCCCCTTATTTTATGCATTCATTGGTTGCTTCTTACATGTGCCCTGACCACAGATAGAACCTGCAACCTTGGCATATTGGGACAACACTCTAACCAACTGAGCTACCCAGCCAGGCCTGAAAAAGAAGGAATTTTAAATATAGGTAGTGAGAGGTGCAAACCTGGGTTTTCAGTCCAGTCCATCTGGCATCGCGGCATGCCAACCGAGACTGTCACCCAGATTGCTTTTCTACCGAGAGGAAATGTTCTAGTTCTGACTTCTGTAGACCAGGACAGGTGAGGAGTTCTCTCAAGTATATCATGGCAAAATTATAATCTTGCCATATCTTTACATTGAAATGGGTTAATTTCCCCCTTGTTTGATTTCAGTGTTGAAAAGTGTAAATACATGGATTCTAAAATGAAGCCTTTGTGGTTGGTGTACAACAACAAGGTGTTTGGTGAGGATTCAGTCGGAGTGATTTTTAAAAATGGTGATGGTATGTACTGAGGTTTTTACAGAACCAAATTCCTTAGTATTTCCTCATTTGTTGTTATTTTGATTTATCTGGGAGGCAATGTGTAAATGTGTAATAATGATAGCCAAAAGAGCTAGTTATTAATGGTCGTAAGGTTGGATTCAGCATGTCCTAAATCTTTTTTTTCCTCCTTTTTACTTCCAAAATACAAAGTCTCTCTATTCCTTTGTTAAAAAGCTTGTGAAGTACAACAGGATATTTTCAATAATATATTCATATATCTTATTTCAGTGATAGCAGTTTTGATATTGCTGCCATAATTTTGTATTTTAAAATATCTAACTGACCCATACTTTATAAAGGAAATGGCTCTGAAGTAAGCACACCAACCACAAGGTGGTCATTGAGTGCTACTACTTATTAGTTATGTGACTGCAGGCAAGTCATGCAAACTTCATTGAGCTTCAGATTCTTCGTGTCCATGAGTATTATAAAATCTATATGTTGGGGTTATTAAAATGAATTAAGTGAGATAACAGGTAAATGTGCTTAACATAATGTGTGCTTACAACTATTTTTAAAGGAACTTGTAGTATTTTGCTGACATTTAATATCACTTGAGCATATGAATGTCATTATGTAAAAGTTACTACTTTCACAGCCTCTAATAACTTTAAAATTACCTGTGGACATTATAAATAAAATCAAATATTACTGTTTTACAAACCCATCATGCAATTATTACTTATGTCATTCTGAAGAACTTCCCATACATCCCTAAAATTAAAAAAGGAAAAAATTAGTGTGAATTGTGTGGATGCTTTATTTAATAAAGCATTGTTGTGTTATAACTGTATTACAGCATCTGTACAATTAGTATAGTAGCTTATACATGGTAAATGTGAAGAATAGTTTTACACTTAATTTCTGAAATAGTGTTGCAGGGACATTCTAACCAACAAACCTAATATTTGACATAACGAATATGGTCAATATTAAAATTTTGGTTAAAAAGATAGCACAGCATTTGTCAATGGTTTTAGTTACTTCTGGCTGGAAATAGCTTATCTTAAATTAATGTTAGCAGTCATAAAATGGGAAGCTTTTGTAATAATGCAGGGTTTTTTTCCTCTTAGATTTACGACAGGATATGCTAACACTCCAAATGCTGCGCTTGATGGATTTACTCTGGAAAGAAGCTGGTTTGGATCTTCGGTGAGGTTTCTGATGAATTGTTTTTACCTCATATTATATTCTTTCCATAGCAAAATTACAAAAACTTGTTGATTCCTTCCCCCCTGTTGTTATTAATTTTTCATAATAAAATCTGTATAGCATTTTACAGTTTACAGTGTACTTTCAAATACATAACTTAACTTAAACCTGATCAGGTGTAAAACTATCCATGTGATGGTAAATTCAGGAAAAAGGAATAAGTTTACTTCCAGTAAGGCCTGGACAGACAGCAGGAGTCACAGTCTAACCTCTATGGTTTTCAAGTTGCTCTCAGGGAGGATTCAGTGGTGGTTATGAGAGTGACAAGGACAGAGAAAGGACTGCTCATCTCGTTAGCCTAGTAACACCGACTTCTCCGCCTTCCTGATGGTGAAGAGTTTAGGTGGACTTTGAGGGTTTTTAGCTTGCCACCATTATTAGAGGTAGACAAGAAAGGAATAAACAAGACAGGTTTATGGCAACAGACAAAAGGAAACATAATGGACTTTAAAAGTTTAATTACCAGCTATTCTACGGTAAAGAACTGATGAAGATAATTGCAACAAAATGTTGGCATAGTTACATAAAAATATAAGATTTGTATGTCAGCCAAGAAAATTAAGTCAGCTCTCACATTGTGCATGATATCATAACAAACAGGAAGAGAGATAGTAATCCTAAATATTTAAAGAGCTCATAAAACTACGGGAAAAATGTGAAAAGGCTATTCATACAAGATAAAATGAGTAAATTAATAATTATATGAATACTGTTAGTTCCAATGTAAAAGTACAGATTATAGGAACAATTGGATGTCACTGATATCCTGGCAAAGATTTTTGTTAAATGATACCCTATATCTGATATTTCCAGAACTTACTTAAAATTAGAAATGTGGGAAGAGATTTATGTACAAAGATATTTATTCTTGCTTTATTTACAAGTTTTAAAATTGGACCACACTTTTAAAATTACCTCATTTATTCATTTTTAGTAGTTAGTTTTTTAATTGTATTTTTATTACCATTTATCCCCTTTATACCCTCTTCCATCTCCAACCATTCCCCTTCCCCAAAGCAATCACCACACTGTTGTTCATGTCCATGAGATCATTTTCTCTTTTTGCTCCATCCTTGCACTCCCCAATCATCCCCCCAAAGCTGTCAGCCTGCTCTCTATGAGTCTGTCTCTCTTTTGTTTGTTAGTTCAGTTTGTTCGTTAGATTCCACATATGAGTGAAATCATGTGGTATTTGTGTCTCTGACTGGCTTATTTCACCTAGGATAATGTTCTCCAGGTCCATCCACGCTATTAAAAAGGGTAAAATTTTCTTTTTTACTGCCAAGAAGTATTGCATTGTGTAAATATGTCATAGCTGTTTTATCCACTCATCTACTGGTGAACACTTGGGCTAAACATTTGCTCAGTAGTAGAATAAGGGTTTAAAAAATTATGAGCTTCTTCAGTATGACCGAATATCTCAGATATTTTAAAAATACTGTTTATAGAGAATTGCTAACAATTTGGCACAAGTGCTTACTTTCAAATATCAAATGAAATAAATATGATGCAAAAGTACTATTATAAAATTATTTCAGCCATGTTAAAAAGTCAAATAGTTGACAGAGTCTAAAATGGTAATGGTCCTTGAAAAGTAACTAAATAAAATTTAATATAAAAAAAATAATAAATAAAATAAAATGGTAATGGTCATTTCTAGGTGATGGGATTAAAGATCAGTTCCTTCCCCCATCCTCTCCCATCCCACACACCTTCGTGTGTCTGTTTCTCTACTTTTCTGCAATGGTGCTCTCCTTCAATCAAGGAGAAGAAAAAACATTAAGCATATTTTATGATATAATATAGGTTCGTAGAGTTTTTAAACTGTTCAAATGCTAGTTAATTATGTTAACTTTTATCATTCATCTAATTCTTTATATTTTATTTATTTATTTTAAAGAATTATCATTTCTTCTTTTAGATTGTATTTACTTATTTTCAGAGAGGGGGTAAGGGAGGGAGAAAGGGAGCGAAACATCAACGTGTGGTTGCTTCTTCTGCGCCCCCAAGTGGGGGCCTGGCCTGCAACCAGGCATGTGCCCTGACTGGGAATCAGACTGGCAACCCTTTGCTTCACAGGCCAGCACTCAGTCCACTAAGCCACACCAGCCAGGGTTATATGTTTTGAACTTTATAAATAGGTGCCATCATATTGTATGTAACTTCTACAGTTCACTTCTTTCATACCTTTTTCTGAGTTTTATCAAGATTAATATGGGAGGTTCTAAATTATTCTTACTTCTCTATTAATGCTTTGAATAAATATAAAAATTTATCCACTCCCCTATTAATAACTATTGTGTTCACCCCCCTACCCCTATTCTCCCAAAGCCCTGCAGCTTACACAGTTCTAAATATATTTCTGTTTATGTATTGAAGAGTCCTTTATATAGCCAGAAATGGAATTGCAGTGTCATAAGGCATGTGTATTTTCAACTTTACCTCCCCAAAAGGTTGTACCAGTGTTATGTTAGCACCCAGAAATATCTCCTGTACTTCTTAATTTTTAAAAAATCTAATGGATATAACATGGTATCTCATAGAATTTTAATTTTCATTCTTTTATGAGTAGTTAGGGTTAGTATATTTTCAGTATTTTAAAGTATTGTGTTTCTCTGCTATAAATTACCTAGGTTCATTTAAAGTCTGTGCTTTTTGTTATATTATTTTTTTAAAAATCCTTCCCCATACAATTATCTTTTTAAAATTGATTTGAGGGAGAGAAACATCTTACGTTGATTTCAGAGAGAGAGAAAGAGAAAGAGATTTATTGTTTCACTTATTTATGCATTCATTGATCAATTCTTGTATCTTCCCTGACTGGGTATTGAACCTTGATGTATTGGAACGATGTTCTAAACAATTGAGCTACCAACTCAGGACTACAATTATCTTAGAGATATATTTTAAAAATTAAATTTCTTGGGGTGACATTGGTTAATAACATTATGTAAGTTTCAAGTATACAATCCTCTGATATATCATCTGTGTGTATATTGCATTGTGTTCTTACCACCCAAAATCTAGTCTCCTCACTTTGACCCACTTTACCCTCTTTATCCTCCCCCAGCTTCCTTCTTTTCTGGTAACCCCACACTGTTGTCTGTGTCTATGAGTTTCTTTGTTTATTTGTTGCATCCTGTTTTATATCCCACATAAGAGTGAAATCATAAAGGTCTCGTCCTATTCTGTCCACCTATTTCACACAGCATGATACTACTCTCAAAGATCCATCCATGTTGTTGCTAATGGCAGTATTTCATCCTTTCTTATGGCTGAGTATATTCCATCTTACATATGTGTCATATCTTTAAAGATACTCTTATATTTTCTTTTTTGCAAATTTTAAACTTGGTGTGCTTTCCCCCTTCTGCTCTCTCTGCCAAAATATGGTCCTGTTGTTCATTTTTGAGTCTGTGTTTTTTTGACTACTTATTTTCCATAATGGTTATTGGACTCTCCAGACTTTTTTCCCTCTTGAGTTAGTTTTGAGGCTAAGAACCGTCCAGTTTATGAATATTTTCAAATTTATTACCATATATTTTATAACATCCTCATAATTTTAAAATCTCTGCTATATTTGTCTTTTTTTGCACATGTAAAGTTACTTTAAATGCATTTTTTGTATTAGTCATATTTTTTTATTTTATTTTTCAATTACAGTTTACATTCAATATTATTTTGTGATAGTTTCAGGTGTACAGCATAGTGGTTAAACAATACTTTAAAAGTGTTCCCCCAGATATTTTTAGTACCCACCTGGCACCATACATAGTTATTACAGTGTTACTGACTGTATTTCTTCTTTTTTTAAATTATATCTTATTGATTATGCTATTACAGTTGTCCCAATTTTTCCCCTACCATAGTGGCTGCACCAACTTGAATTCTCACCAGCAGTACACAAGGGTTCCCTTTTCTCCACATCCTCACCAACACTTGTTTATTGATTGATTGATGATAGCCATTTGTACAGGTGTGAGGTAGTATTTTATTGTGGTTTTAATTTGTATTTCTTTGATGATTAGTGACCGCACATCTCTTCATATGTTTATTGGCCATCTGTATGTCGTTCTTATTGATCTTATTAGAGGTTTACTTAGTATTGTAAAAGAATGGGTTTCTTGCTTTATGCTTTCCCTTTTATCAACTATTAATTCTATGTCTTCCTTCCTTTTACTTGTGTTTATTCTGCTGTTTTGATTTATTGTGGTGAATTAATTTCCATTTTTTATACATATAACTAAAACAGTATGTTTTCTGTACCTGATGCCTTAACTGCATCCTCCAGGTTTAAAATGTACTTTCATATTATATCAAACTGTATAAAATTCAGTTTTAAATGTTTTATAATTTTCATTTTTATTTCTTCAGCTCTTGAACTGGCTTAAATTATTTTAAATGCTAAATAAATTCAATTTTTTCTCTTATGATTTCTAATTTTATTATATTCCCAGATTATGTTGTCTGTATACCGTAACTCTCATATTTCTTAAGAATTTCCTTAGGCTTTTTATATATACGTCCAATTCTTCTAAATATTCCATTTGTGATTGAAAAGATTCCAGATGCTGTAATTATTAGTTATAAGGTAATAAATTGGTCTGTTCTTTTAAACTTAATTGTGTTCAAACCTATATTCTTGATTAAGTTTATTGTCACTTGAGAAGTATGTTAAAACCTTCCTTTATAATCAGCATTTGTCAGTTTTCTCATTGTGGAATTTGAATTTCCGTAATAACTAATTATGTTGGTCAGCTTTTCATTGTGCTGTTGATCATTCGTGCATGTTCTTTGGAGAAATATCTACTCAAGTCCTTTGTTCATTTTTGAATTTGTCTTTTAATTTTTGAGTTAAAATTTTAAAAATATTTTAGATACTGTACCCTATTAAATAAATTATTTGCAAATATTTTCTTTTACTTTGTTGGTTGCCTATT